TTTGGTTCGCTTGCAGCCCTATGCAGGTCTCACCATCATCCTATGGAATTTTCCCTTAAGTTTAAGGGGCATTTTTCTATCACACAACAAGCCCGATGCATTCCTCCACTTCAACCATCCAACTTGAATTATACTAATAATATCCCCATCTATTTTACCATCACTTTGAACAATAGATACAAGATATCTAAAACATGCACTCATATTAATGACTTGATCGCCCAAAATCACAGTCCCCTACTAAATCTATTACAACTAAAATTACACTCCGTGTATTTGGTTTTAGATCTACTCAAACCAAAACCTTTAGACTCAAAGGTTTATCTCCATAGTTCAAGTTTACCTTTGTGCTTAAAAAAAAATTGATAACAATGATCCAAGTTCTGATGGCAACACTTCATGAGAAAAATAGAACTGAAAGAAAATCTCTTGGCTCTGTCAGATAACAATTGTTCTCAAAGTAGCAACTGAGCTTTTGGTTAAGTTATAGCTCCTATTATCAACTGCATTGATTATTATTCACCCTTCAAGCGTGCACTACCCTACTTATCAATTCTGTTGCTAGAACCATCCCTAATGGAGAAAGAACTCCACATTCTGATATCGAACAAATGCAGTAAATCATAATGGAACTGCAGAAAGAACTGACAACCAGCAGTTTGCCTCCAGAAGATTCACTGGGTATTGACTACTGACCCCCTAGGCATACGGTAAAGAACCCTCGCTGATCCAAGAGATGAATAATCAACAAGAACAAAAGAATGTTACTGTAAATGAAGAGAGGTTGTGGATAAAGATACCTTGGAGTACGGGACGATGTGATCGTAGTCGTGGCAGAGGCATCCAGGGCATCCAACGAGCTTTCGAAAGATGATGTTGCCAAGAGGATCCCTCCGCCACCTGTCAGGATCCCTCCCCTTCACCTTCTCAGCCTTTTCCCAGCACCGCTGCTTCACACTGTAAGAAAAGCTACGAGGATTCGCTGCTCTACCACCCCCACCGATTCCACCGTTTATATTATTGTGATCTTCGATGGGCTCATCGCTAAACCATTGATGCCCATCTTCCGCAAGGTATAGCGCACGATCGTCGAGAAGAGAGCCGACAGGTCGTACGGATGTGCGATGGTGGCCGGAGGTTCGGTCAAGCTCGAAGCCCGAAGAGTCGAAGGAGGGCCGTTCTCGCTCCGGCGATACAGCGGCAGTCCTCCCCCTTCCAGCGGCCGACTTCCTCGGCCGCATTTGGCTTTCCACTAAGCCCCATCTGCCATGTGCATTTTTATTTGAAAGAGCATAATTGGTGCCCGAAAATAAAATTTAAATTAACAAAAATATATATATCTATCCTATCTATATCTATAATACTATAAAAAAAGTGGTTTGAAATTTCACTCAAATATAATTCTAGTCTTCTATTTAATTATTAAAAGATGAATCTCAAATTTTCATTTTATTTATACATTTAATTAACTTATTTATTAATTTTATTTATTCATTTAAATGCATCAAAATGTTTTATTTTTTT